GTGAAATATTTTGTTCAGCTTTTAGGTTCAGCTGTAACTTAAGGTATAGAAACTTATTCCTAGTATTTCAAAGAGTGGAATAAAAAAGAAAGCAGGGGTTTTATTGAGTACTATCAAAAGCGGTTGTTAACACCTGACAGAAACTTGCACACTTGGCAGAACTTTTACGCTTACCATAAGATTAACCTTCATTGACTGATTCAACTGTAGTGCTGGGATATAGCTGGCACGCTGCAGGTGGTGGACTAAAAGAAATTCATGATTCTGAACACCCGCATTGGTCTGTAAAAACTTCTCCAAACACTCCTATGAGAAATAACACACGTCAAAAATCTATTATGATTCTGCCTCTTCTCTTTTCAAAGGGACGATTAAGATTTTTCTTCTCGTCCACACTTACTTGTTCAGTGTCCGTGAAAGGCAGCTTCAGTAAGTCTTCCGTTAGTCCCATCTCCTGACAGATTTCATACATGTGCTTTAGCAGCTCTTCTATATTTAACTTAGTGGTATGTCGCTGCAGCAGACCCCAAGCCTCCACCACGCACCTGCAATTAGGTTTTTTGAGATGCAAAGGAATATTAATAGTACAACCAAAAAGATGCCCCAAAAGTATTGCATTCAAAGTTGAAAGGGAATTTAGGGAATCGTGATTTATATTATTTGTTCTCCACCTTTCACAACATTTGAGTGCCAAAACGGTGGCATATCTTTCTTTACCTATTGGACAGCAACACAGTGAGGAAAAGCCGCACTTCACTACTGCTTGACGTGGATGGCTTCATCATCTGTATGTATCTGAGGGCTCGCCTATGCTCTCCTTGGCACATGAGGGACTGAAGAATTCTCCGATGTTGCCATGACACAGTTTTGATTGTAGCTGGATGAAAGAGCAGGGCCAGTGAACTCTGTGGGAGGTAGAGATGGGGTTTATTAAGATACATACATACATACACACACACGCAGGCAACAAAAATATTCAAAAGTTTCTTAAGTAAGGGTGAATGTGCGTTAAATACGTTTACATGACTAACTGATGAAACGCTTGATACAGGACTCGTAAATAACAATGCTTAAGTATTTGCAGGAAAAAAAAATTCAGTTAGCCATACCGAACAAAGTGAGTGGTTTAACAGGAGTAATTCACACTTTCCTAGGTTAACCAAGTCGCTCTATACAAACACCACTTTTTATAAACACAGTACTAAATCATAAGCTACTCTCCCAGACAAACAGATAACGTCAACATCGTGACAGGCAAAGAGCAACCTCCAGCATCCGAAAGAACATGAAGTGGGTTGAACAGTCACTTTTGCAGTCTTCTGTCTCACATCCTGCTGCTACGATCATAGTTTTAATATTTAAAGTACCTAAACCACCGTTTTTGAGAAAGCGCTCGACTGGTCTGCTGAAAACAACCTAAACGGATGGCTTTGAAAATTCAAATATCAAGCATTATTAAAGCTGATGTCTTCTTTTTTTAATCAAATTCCTGTCAAAGTAATTAAACCAAAATTTCAAATCATAATTTATTGCTGAAGATGTCGTAGCAGTATTACAAAGAAGCTTCTAGTCTTTTAGCACCTGTTAGTAGCCAAGCACCACATTTTAAAATCCTTTTCTAGATTATAGCTTTGTACTGCAGTGTATGTCTAACTAAGCGGTAACTTACGTACCTCGTAATCATTGTGATCTAGAAGCCAAAAACCTTGAATAAGCTTAACAAGACCCCAAGGGATAGCAAAGGCAGTTGGGAAGGAGTCGACTGAAGTGTCTGTTTTATTCGGAAAGGAATGCATGATATCCAGCAGCAAGTAAATTGTCTGATATCAGGTACCTAGTTAAGGCCACTAGATTTCTAAGACCAAAAATTTATCACACCGCATTTGGAAAAACATAATGAAGCAAGACTATAAAAGCGGTAGGAAGCAGAAGAGAGTAATGTATTAGTTTTACCATTTTAAGCTATTATAACCTGAAGATAGTCAGGTCCTAACCACAGAATTGCATTCTGAGTAAATAACCAGAAAGAAAGACTCTTTGGTTTCTGTAAGACATTCAGAAAGGTTAACTTTAGGTATGTAAATACTTCAGTGACAAAGTCAGGCTCCCTCTTTCGTCAGTGGAGCTACCTGTTGGACATTCAAAGCATTTGAACATCCAATGCTTAGTTATTAAAGCAAACAAATGCTACAGTTGTTTTTTTCCAGAGCATAGAAAACGATGTAAATTATGGCGTCCTTACAATACAACTTAGCTCTGAATGACTAAAACTGGATTTAAAGCAGTATGTGGATCACCCATTGGTAGTGTCATTTTCTCTTTCCAACATCCGTTTTCAGGGACACGTTCTAAGAAGGCAGCTCTGGGGTACAACAGTTAGCAAACCCCTTGCTCTCTAGGCTCCCCTCCCAGGTTAGGCAACAAACAACAACAGCAATTCTGTCTGTTTCGGCAGCTTAAAAATTAAGTTTCTGCCCAGCGACTTTTCTCTTCTCTCTGTTTATTATTCTGTGTGCCTGCGCTTTTAACAGAACAAAAGCAAGCGCTGCTGGAAAACGGATGATTTTGGCAAAAATCAGGTCCTGGTAAACCACCGTTAGAAACCCTTTTGCTCTGAAGCAGCACGTTTTAGCGCATCATCCTAGTAAGTAGCCATTTGCTACAGGTATGGGTGCTTTAAAAAATTAAAACCTGTGTTTAAGTTTCGAGAAAAAACTACAGAGGCTTTTTATCTTTAACGTTTCTTAGTAAACCTGCTTTCTCACATCAGAAAAGACTTTGCAACAAAACATTAAAAAAAACCCAACATAAAAAATCCGCAGTCCAAAGAAATAAAACAATGCTTCTGCCTACGACTTAATTCTGAACTGACTGTTTTCGCTTGCATTGTGTTTGAAGCATAACTCTAAAAATGTCATTAAACACGTAGGTGACAAACATTTAAGAACATTTATGTGCATATACGGAAGGTGTAGTAAAAACAACTGGAAAGGATACAATTGCATGTTTGTAGCTTTCTTCAATGCTTTCTAGCAAATAGAGATCCAGCAGTGCCTGAAATAAAAAATTAGAAGGTCTTTAAAAACCCATCTTGCATAAATCACTGGCTCTTGGGTGGGGTTGGGGGTGTGTGTGTGTG